ACTACCGCGCTGAGCCGACAAACAGCTGATCGGCTCAGCGCGGCAGCCATGTAAATTTAAATGAAGCGGCGATTATTTAAATTTTCCTATGCTGGGTAGTCTAATCTACATGCCTCTGTAGTCTAGACGTACCTTCAGTGTTGTGCCAAGTGAGAGAGAGGTCCAGAGGTTCTTAACAATCGACACAGACTAAGGGTGAGAGGAAAGTGAGGGGAACATCACACAACAGCAGATGTAGAAGTCCTACTCCAGTGTGTATCTATTAGGCCACACTGCCTCCCAGAAAGGGTGACTAGTATTCTCACTGGTCAGCCAGGGAAATTGAGTCACATAGAGATCTTTTATATGTCTTAGGCAGATATGGAGATAAAAGCACAACAGTCTATATGCTCAAAACCATGAATCCTCTAGACAGTCCTTATCTATTAGCTTTCTTGTAGCATCATTATTTCATTGTTTGTTATTTCTCTGGTTTTTCTTTTCCCATGCCTATTTTTTCTTTCTTTCCATTTTTCCCACTTTGTTTTCATTTGAATTTCTGATATTTTAAAATCTGTTACTATTGTTTCTATGACTTGGCTTTTCCCTGGGGACAGCATCTGTTTTCATTCCGTTTTCACAAGTAACCTTCAGACAGTCTTGGCTTTAGGCTACCCCAATGATAAACCGCACCCAGTTTTCCCTGCAAATGCAAGGGGAATCCTGACTTGTCCCATGAGCAGATTCCTGAAATTCTGACCAGTTTGTTAGCAAATTCCTTGCTCAGTTTCCTGGCCACTAACCTCCTCACGTGTTTTCAATCTAGGAAACTAGGCAGCTCTGTAAGTCCATCTGAATATCACGAGTTTGGCCACTGCTGGGCTAGTTAATGTGGTCTGAGTCCTGGCACCCAAAAAAGGAGAGGCAAGTTAAGTGAGGTCGTATCTTTTATCAGACCCACCACTGTTGGTGCAAGAGACAAGCTGTCGCAGACCTCAAGAGCTGGGTGAGAGCTCAAAAATTTGTCTCTTGCACCAACAGAGATATTGTCCAATAAAAGATATTGTCTTGTCCACCTTGTCTCCAATGGGCTACAACCAACATGGCTACAAGAACACCGCAAACCCCTTAAATAACTCATCCTCTGCAAGAGGCCTATTAATGATCAAATTGCTGGCATGGCTTGTATGATGGCAGTGGCCAGTTCCTTGGAACACCAGAAAAAAAGTCAACAAACCCATTGCCACCTCCCTCCCCACAACCTCCACACACCCACCTCCCGGTTAATGGCCAAACATGAGTCAGCCAAAGCCTTTCTGAATGAGAGGCGAGGTTGCTCCTTTCACTTCCCATTTGGGTCCAGCCAGTGTGGGATGGCAAAACTCCAGTCCGGATGGAGCCAATGGAATCTTCCCCAGTCAGTTCTTCATCACACGGGTTTGGCACACGGTCCCTATATAAAGGGGCAGCAGAAGCAGAGCTACGGACAGAAGGAGAAGAACAAAGTGAGCATCTCCCCAAGCTGCTGCATCTTGGCTCAGCCAGAGGGGCTGGAGGTAAGTGAGCCGGCCGGGTCCTTTTCTGGCTCAGCAGCTGCTGCTGTTTGCTGAGAGGCTGATTGTAACTAATCCATCCAACTGCTGATCTTGAGCAAAGCAGCACCTGGGCTTCAGGAACTGGGCTTCAGAAACTGACCTGCCTAGGGAGGACGTTCCCTCCTGTCAGAGGTGTAGCCAGAGGGTTATGTGCCCAGGGCAAAAGCAAGGCCCCAAACCTGGCACACGGCTGAGACCAACCCTGGGGCGAAGGGGGCTTTTACCACATCTTCCCCCGCCCCTTCCAGTTTGAGGCCAGGCCCCTGCACACACTAACCCATGGGCAGAGATGGAGGAGGTCGGGCTGGGGGCAGAGAGGCAGGGAGGAGACTCCAGGCAGCAGTGGTGGGCAAAGGAGGAACAGGCAAGCTGAGGGATGACAAGGGGAATAGAGGGGGACTAAATTGCTGCCCCCTTAGGGTATGTCTACACTACCCCCCTAGTTCGAACTAGGGGGGGTAATGTAGTCATACGGAGTTGCAAATGAAGCCCGGGATTTGAATTTCCCGGGCTTCATTTGCATAAAGCTGGCTGGTGCCATTTTTAAATGCCGGCTAGTTCGGGCCCCGTGCCGCGCGGCTACACGCGGCACGGACAAGCTAGTTCGGATTAGGCTTCCTAATCCGAACTAGCTGTACACCTCATTCCACGAGGCATACAGCCACCTAATCCGAACTAGCTAGTCCGGGCCGCGTGTAGCCGCGCGGCACGGGGTCCGACCTAGCCGGCATTTAAAAATGGTGCTGGCCATCTTTATGCAAATGAAGCCCGGGAAATTCAAATCCCGGGCTTCATTTGCAACTCCGTATGACTACATTACCCCCCCCAGTTCGAACTAGGGGGGTAGTGTAGACATACCCTTAGTGTAGTGCCCAGCGACAAATGCCCCCCACTCACCACATCCCTGCTGTGTTATGAGAGGCTGGCTGGTGTCCTGGACCGTGAGGCCCCCATTCCTACCCAGCATGACCTAGAGGGATTATTACCCCCAGCGTAAGTAGCATGGAGATTGTGATGTGCTTTGCTAATGGAAGGCCATGTAATTTGCAAGCTGACATCTGCTCACTATTGGATCTCAAAGCCCTTTACCAAGGGGGACAGTATTACTATCCCCCTGGTACAAATGGGAAAACCAAGGAAGGGCATGACATACCCGAGGTCACCTGACCAGTGGTAGGAATAGAAACTAGGATCCATGCCCCCTCGCCCAGCATGCTGCCCAGCAGGCAAAACTGGCTCTGTAAGAGGCAGTTAAGGCTAGGTCTACACAACAGAGTTTCTGCGCAAAAATTCGTGGCGTGTCCACACCTCAAGCATGTTTTTGCACGAGTAAAATGAAAGAACGGGGGGGAGGACAGTTTCCTTTGTAGATATTAGGGAAGGGCAGACAAATAAGCAAGCAGTGGCAAATTTTTAAAGTGCTTCTACACAAATGCTAGGAGTCTGACTAATAAGATGGGTGAACTAGAGGACCTCGTATTAAAGGAGAAGATTGACATAATAGGCATCACTGAAACCTGGTGGAATGAGGAAAATCTGTGGTACACAATCATACCGGGATATAAAATATATCAAAAGGATAGAGCAGGCTGGGTGGGTGGTGGAGTGGCACCGTATGTGAAAGATAATGTAGAATCAAATGAAATAAAAATATTAAATGAATCAACATGTTCCATATAATCGCTATGGATGATAATTATATGCTCCAATAATAAGAAATTAGCAATAGGGATATATTACTGACCACCTGACCAGGACAGCGATACTGACATTGAAATGCTGAGGGAGATTAGAGAGGCTACCAAAATAAAGAAATCTATAATAGTGGGGGATTTTTATTATCACCATATTGACTGGATACATGTCACCTCAGGAAGAGAAGCAGAGAGAAAATTTCTCAATGGCTTAAATGACTGCTTCTTGGAGCAGCTGGTGCAGGAACCCACAAAGGGAGAGGCAATTCTTGATTTAGTCCTGAGTGGAGCGCAGGATCAGGTCTGGGAGATAACCGTTACAGGACTGCTTGGGAATAGTGACCATAATAATATAATAACACATTCCTGTGGTGGGAAGAACACCTCAGCAGTCCAGCACCCTGGCATTTAATTTCAAAAAGGGGAATTACACAAAAATGACGACGTTAGTTAAACAGAAATTAAAAGGCACAATGACTAGAGCCAAATCCCTGCAAGCTGCATGGAAACTTTTTAAAGACACCATAACAGAAGCTCAACTTAAATGTATACCCCAAATTAAAAAACATAGCAAAAGACCTAAAAAAGAGTCACCGTGGCTTAACCACCATGTAAAAGAAGCAGTGAGGGACAAAAAGGTATCTTTTAAGAAGTGGAAGTCCAATCCTAGTGAGATAAATAGAAAGGAACATAAACACTGTCAAATCAAGTGTAAAAATGTAATAAGAAAAGCAAAAAAAGATTTTGAGGAACAGCTAGCCAAAAACTCAAAAAGAAATAACAAAATGTTTTTAAGTACATTAGAAGCAGGAAGCCTGCTAAAAAGCCTGTGGGTCCCCTAGATGATCGAGCTATAAAAGGAGCAATCAAGGACGATAAAGCCATTGCGGAGAAACTAAATGATTTCTTTGCTTCAGTCTTCACAGCTGAGGAC